TTTCTTAGCGAAATTTTTTTTAATAGGATCACATAATGAGCGAAATTTTTTTAACTGGTATTGCTAGTCCCAAATAAAAAACCCTGGCCGGCATCATATAATTCTGGCCCGAACTAACCATAAAATTTTGCTGAGGGTCATTTTGATCGAGACGGTTTAGCTTCGACCGTAAACAAAGGATTATGAATTCGATGGTATTATTTAGCTAGTCTTATGTGTGAGAATCGTAAGGTCAAGTGATGGAATTAATTTATTACGTATTGACAATTAGTAGTCAAACAGTTTAATTTAGAGTATAAAACTAACTTTCTAATTGCAGGTTAAAAGATTTCACTTTTTTATTGTTTCTATTAAGCACGAATACAATGATAGAATTACGCTTTGGCGTATCTACAACTAATAATGCAGAAAGAATCTGCAAATGACAATTATTTTTTTCTACGAGCTGAAACACAACCTATTATATCTTCAATTTACTCTGGAGTTTTTAAACCCTCACTAGTAGATTCCATCCCGGCTTGAGGGTCAGAATCTCGCGCTGAGGGTTAAAATCCCCCGACTATCTTTACCCAAACACGTAATACATAAAATAATAATAATAAATAATAATAAAATAAAAAGAAAAATACGAAACTAGTCAGAAAAAGAAATACGGGGCATAACAGTGGCCCAATGTCCATGTCCATTGTTCAGCCCAACACTGACTAAAACGTAGTAGACTGTTTGTGTAACACTAGTGGTCATAAGTAGCCAATCAAAAACCTGAAGTTAATAAACATACATTAGATTTTAAAATTATATAAAACGAATAAGAATAAAGAACTATTTTTCTTCAAATTGTTTAAACTCTTCTGTATCAGCTATACATTTCTTAAAACTATTGATTTTATCTTGCAGTGTTACTGATTTTTTAAGAATTATCAACTTTCGTTTAGAATCAAGGTTCATATTTGGCGCTGTATTTAAGAAAGATTTATAATGTTGGAAAAGTATTTTGACTGTTTGGTCAACAAAGGGAGAAAATGAATTTGTATGTTTTACTGGAATTATTTCGTATTCGCCATCGTTAATATAAAAGACAACCTTCCCGTCCTTAGATTGATGTATAAATCTTTTGTTCCTAATACCCTTTACTGTTGCCTTGATACTTTGAATAATACCCATTCTACGTTTCTCATTTTTGAAATTTGTTTTTTTTATCCATTCTTGTTCAGCAAGTAAGTCAGCATAGTCAATATCCTCTTGATATTTGATTTTTGCACGCACGGCATGTTCAGGATTAACAGTTTTAGGATCATTTAATTCGTAAATTCCGGGTTTTAATAAATTTAATTTATTGCATACATATGAAAATATTTCAGGATCTGATGTATTTTCATTGTTAATAGATCCTAGGGTGTCATCTGGTTCAAACTCGAACTTTTGAACGATTGAAGATTTCAAACGATTGGTCAATAGACTGAAGCATTCAACTGCATCTGGTTGACGAGTATTAAGGTTTTTACTTTCCCATTGTGGAAATATATATTTACCTGGAATATTATAGTCGCATTTATAATTTATGCAATTTTTAAGTGTATTGCAAATTCTATCAAATTTGCCACAAATAGTTTCAGTGTTGTCTTTGGGATTTATACTTAGAAGAAGGGAAACGTATAGAGGTATTGCGCTGAGGTAAATTTCCATTTGTTCTTTATTTGTTGGTTTTTGATCAAAAGTAAGGCACCAAGTTCACTGGCATGTGTAATATACTGTTGTTTATTGAAATCTTGTTCTATTTCCAAGTAATTTATAGCAACATAATAATTTTTAATATAATCATTCATCTTGCTCTCTCCTTTTAAATCGGCCATCATTATTTTTACATCTTTTAAATCTTTTTTGATATCCTTTAAATCTACTTTAATTTCATTTATTCCATGTTCCGTAGCGGATGGTCCGCTTAAACTCATCATTAAATAGTCTAAATATAATTTATGAATTTCATGACAATGAGAAACGTGCTTTAAAAACTGAAGTGCAATTGCTTTTGCATATTTGATGATGATTGTGGATTGTTGATTAATCAGATCTTGGTTTTCTTTATTATGCTTTAATTTTTTGAAATGATCAGTTAACGCAGACTTATCGTATTGTTTTCGAATATCTGGAGGGATATCATAAACGTTTTTAATTTCAAGAATATTATCTGCCATGATAATTGAATAATTATCAAAGGGAACACTCAGCTATGAAAGACGATATAAGAAAATAGTTAAGTAAAACGATAATATATGTAGTAATATAAGGCGTGGGGATAATACTGATACGAGCACTCAGCAAGTATGTAAAAGAATATAAAATAAGATATCTCTTAGTTGTCTTTATTTATAAATGAAAGGATTATTCGGAAATTCATAATAAAAAAAAACTTTAACAGACGAACTCAAATGATCTATATACATGGAAAAGGAACCGCATTTATATTGGACGTGTTTCCTTTTAAAACCTCGATAAAGCACGATCTTAGGCGCGCACCACTAATAAATCATGGATAAGGCTATTTCCTTTTTTATACTACTTATACGCAATATTTTGGGTTGAGTCACGGAATACAAGCAAATATTTTTTTAATAAAATTTTAAAACTTTAAACTGAATAATTTATAGTTTAAAGCTATAAAAAAAAAATTATTATAAAAATGATTTGCTTGTTTTTTATTAATGACTTATTCAACACAACGATGAAAGACGACCAGTTATCAGTCATGATTAGAGGTTGCTTCACCCAATTTAAATTAAAACCAGATAGGATTTTAATAAAAAATCTGGTAATTTCTCTAATAATGATAAGGAAGAAAATATTGATTAGGAAATTTACAACATAAGCTTAGTACATCTGCGGTATGATTTTCTGAATAAACAAATACAGTATTAGTATAAATAAGTAGCTTAGTGAAATAAACATTTCCTAAAATATTAGCATCAATAAGTTGTTTACCCAAATACCTTAAATAATGTCCAATGTGTACGTATTTACATTTAACTTTTTTGAGATACAGTAATTAAAAATTATAACGATAATGATAATCTCTGCAGTGTTAATACTGTAATATAAGGCCATAGGAAGACTTTCGTATGATTGGCTGTTTAAGTCTATTTAATTTTACATTATTTATACAGCTTAAAGTACTTTTTAAAAAAAATCAAACTACGAAGAATAAGCAAAAAAGAAGCATATAAAAAGGTTTATTAGGGTTGTAGGACTCCATCATTAAAAATAATCAAAATCATTTTTGGTATTAGAGAAGTTAACATAATAGCGACATCTTAAAGATAGATAGAATTAGGTTATTACCATGCTAACTTTAAAACAAAAAGGGATTGTGATTATTTTTAATAGTGGAGTCCTACAACCCTATTAAAACTTGCTATATACTTCTT